TCCTTCCATTGGTTCACTCCCCAAACGATCACGACGGCTGGAGCTGTGCCGATCCGAAGCCAGGAGCCAGGTGCTTCTTCCTGGTCTCCCTTGCAGGTGTTGGGGCCCAAGCACTTGGGCCATCCTCCACTGCACTCCCGGGCCATAGCAGAGAGCTGGACTGGAAGAGGAACAACCAGGACCAGAACCAGTGGCCACATGGGACGCTGGTGCCATAAGCGGAGGATTAACCAAGTGAGCCATGGCACCGGCCCCTCCCAATTTTCTAAAGCACCTTTTCTCTATGATTATTTCAAAATAGCTATCCAGAATTATCTGCATTCTATAATCCTTTGACTGATTTACACACCAATCCAAAAGGTAACACTGTAAAGTAATACTGTAAAATAAAAGCTTCTGGGGCCGGCACCCTGTGGCACAGCGGGTTAATGCCCTGGTGTGAAGCGCCGGCATCCCATATGGGCGCCGGTTCGAGACCCGGCTGCTGCACTTCTGATCCAGCTCTCTGCTATGGCCTGGGAAAGCAGCAGAAGATAGCCCAAGTCCTTGGGCCCCTGCACCACGTGGGAGACCTGGAAGAAGCTCCTGGCTCCTGGCTTTGGATCGGCACAGTTTCGGCCATCTGGGGAATGAACCAGCAGATGGAAGACCTCTCTCTCTCTCTCTCTCTCTCTGCCTCTCCTTCTCTCTGTGTGTAACTCTGACTTTCAAATAAATAAATAAAATCTTTAAAAAAAAGTTTTTATATAGTTAAGTAGTTACTGTCACCCAGAAATATAAGTAGAAGAAAACATGTTATAAAGTAATCTGACCATGTTGAAAGGCAGTATAAAATTAATCTTTGAGAACAGAGTTCTGGCTTGGCTCAGCTGCCTACCATCCATTTGGCCTTGTATGTTATTTAGCATTTTTAAAACAGTATACAATAATTACTGGTGATCACTACATAATCAGAATCTCACTCAGGCTGTGGTGTACAGAATAGATGCCAAATGGACAAACTGGGAAACCAACTTAAAAGACAACCTTGGGGGCCAGTGCTGTGACGTATTAGATTAAGCTTTCACCTGCGGTGCTGGCATCCCATATGGGTTCGAGTCCCGGCTGCTCCACTTTAGATCCAGCTCCCTGCAAATAGCCTGGGAAAGCAGTGGAAGATGGCCCAAGTGCTTAGGCACCTGCACCCACACGGGAGACCCAAAGAAGCTCCTGGCTCCAGATCAACCTAGTTCCAGTCATTGCAGCCATTTGGGGAGTGAACCAGCAGATGGAAGACCTGTCTCTCCCTCTCTGTAACTCTGCCTCTCAAATAAGTAAAATCCTGCCCTTCCTATAATAAAATATCACACAAGAGAGACAACCTTTGTAATTTAGACGATGGAGGCATGAATTAGAAGGGAGTAAAGTAAGATGCTGTGGTATAGCAGGTAGAGTCGCCGCCTGCAGAGCTGGCATCCCAAATGGGCGCCAGTTCGAGTCCCAGGTGCTCCACTTCCAATCCAGCTCTCTGCTATGGCCTGGGAAAGCAGTACAAGATGGCCCAAGTCCTAGGGCCCCTACACCCACGTTGGAGACCTGGAAGAAGCTCTGGCTCCTGGCTTCGGATTGGTCCAGCTCTGGCTGTTGTGGCCATTTGGGGAGTGAACCAGCAGATTGAAGACCTTTTTTCTCTCTGTGCCTCTCTGTAAATCTGCCTTTCAAATTAATAAATAAATCTTTTTTTTTTTAAAAGGGCCTCTGAACTTGTTCACTACATTTAAATTTTCTACTTATCAAATGTGTCAGTTTGAACAAGCTACTACTCTCCCTATACCTGTTTTTCTCCTCTACGATGGAAATAAAAACCTTCACAGGATTGTTGCCAAAGAACAAATAAAACAAAACATATACAGCAGTTAGCATGCTGTATGGCATGAAATATAGAGTGCAAATGTTTATAACTATTAATGTAATGTGAATGGGTTGAGAAATGAGAATTAACTACAAAATGCTTAGGAGACAGGAAAGGACAGTTTGGATATAGGAAAAGGTGAGTGGACAGACCAGCTTGAAAGGGGGCTCTATTTGAAGAAATGAGAAACAAAGAAGATGCTGAGTTTTCAAGGAAAAGAGTGTTTGTTCTTGAACACACTGAGATGTGCCAGCATAAATGGCTCTGAAATGAAATAGACCAAGACCAGAGATCGGAGATTCAGGAGACAGACAGTAATTAAACCTATGGGCAGTGATAAGCATCCCAAAGGAAAGACTATGCAAAGACATGATGACACTAGGTGGAACCTAAGATGCATCAACATCTAAAGAAATGATGGGCATGGAGAGGGCATTGGGCATTGTGCACTGCTTGGACATCCACATCCCATATCAGACTGCCTGGGATCAAGTGTGGCCTCCACTTCCAATCCAGCTCCCTGCTAACGCTCCTGGGAAACAGCAGCTCAGATGGCCCAAGTATCTGGGTTCCTACCATCCATGTAGCTGGACGGAGTTCCTAACTCTTGGTATTGGCTTGATGCAGCCCTAGCTGTTGTAGGCATTTCAGGAGTGAAACAGTGGATGGAAGACCACTGCTCTTTCTCTCTGTCACTTTGCCTTTCAGATAAGTAAATCAACTTTTTTAAAACAAAGGATGGGCAGGGGAAGAAAAGCCTACAAAGGACACACAGCAAGAGGTCACAGAAGTTAGAAAACAGCAAGATATGTCAAAAGACAAAAGACAAAATGTGATTCAAAGAATATTCAATAATGTCAATATTGCCAAGCAGAGAAATAAGAGAATTTTCACTGGACTTCAGAATGAAGCTATTCATTCACACAATAAATGTCTCAAGCATTGTGCCTCCAGATACAGACATGATTAAGAAAAATAAGATCCTTGGGGCTGGTGCTGTGGCGTAGCAGGCAGGGCCATGTAGTGGCATCCCATGTGGGGACCAGTTTTGAGTCCTGGCTGCTCCACTTCCGATCTAGCCCTCTGCTGTAGCCTGGGAAAGCAGTGGAAGATGGCCCAGTTCCTTGGGCCCCTGCACCCACGTGGGAAATGCAAAAGAAGTTCCTGGCTCCTGGCTTTGGGTCAGCACAGCTCCAGCCGTTGCAGCCAATTGAGGAGTAAACCAGGGGATGGAAGAACTCCCCCCCACCCCCGCCTCTCCTTTTCTCTCTGTGTAACTCTTTCAAATAAATCTTTGGAAAAAAAAAAAAAAAGAAAAGAAAAGAAAAAATAAGATCCTTGCAGACTTTGCATTGTAAAAATAGATGGTACAAGAGCAAATAAATGAAATATAAACTGTGTCAAGGACCTAAGTAGAGTGATATGGAAGAGTAAGAGGCAGAGGGTAGTTTTAGATAGGCAGTTTGGGATGGCATCCCAGAGGAGTGAAAATTTGAACTGGGACATAAGGTAGGAAAGGGCTTGATATAGTCAGAGAACTGAAGGGAGAAGGCCCATGTGACTATACAACAAGAATGAGAGAGGGCTGGACAGAAGCTAGACCATGTTTATAGAGCATGCTGAGGGCATAATGAAAAGAGTTGGATGATCATTCCATTGAGCATTCTTACGCAGGGAAGGAAGTTAAGATCACTCTAGCTAAAGGTACTTAACAGTTTCATTTTCCATCATTTTTATTAGTCTTAATAATCAGAAAAATGATACTTTACTACCTTTTCAAGCACTGGATTACATCAGCATAGACTCTCCATTTTAAAGGATACTACACAATTATAAGCATGTTACCTGTTCCATCAGTTTTATTAATCCCCTTTTAAATTTTCCTACATAGTCCTATTCCTTTCAAAGGTATTTCCTATAACATCTGCTTGATTTCTATAATTAAATCACATTTCTCTGAAGCACTCATTTTCAAACAATGTACATGAGAACTTGAATGCTTTATATACACTCTACACAAATGTTTCTAAAATGTATATAAGCCAATCACACACCAAAGAACTGAAAAATTCATTAAAAAAATTACCTTCAGTTTGTTTCCTATTTCCTTAATCCATGTACTTACATACACACATATGATAAAATTGATACAGACAACTTCTGTTTCATTCCAAGTGGTTGTATTTTATGCTCATAGTGTTTTTAAATTGCTATCCACAAGAGGAAAATGTATAGCCCTTCCACATTTACAAGGTGTTCAACAACAAATACAATAAGTTACTTAATATCTATTAATTATCAGGCAATGAGCTGGGTACATGACATAAGTTACTTTAAATCATGCCAATATTCCTGAAAAATAGGCATTATTCTTCACATTTTACAGATGAGAATATAGGCTCATTGAATGTGGATGACTTGCAAAAAACTGTAGAACTGGGACTTAAGCCCAGTTCTGTATGTTTGAAAACTCTGGTCACTATACCAGGATGCCTCATACTATTAACAGATTTGGTTTCTCAAACAACACTGTCAAATGTGAGATATTAAATCATAAAAATGAATTTTTAAATGATTAAAATATTTTATTCAATTTTTAATATTTTGTGTACAACTTTAGAAACATTAGCCATACACATCATTATTTTATAATCACCCCTTTGGCATAACAGCTTAATTTTAAATTTTTTTAATATTAGAGAAAAAACATAAAAGGAAGCTATAAAAGATAATTACACTGTATCTAATGTCCAAGAAGTATCATCATGGATCAAAATGTTTTCCCAGCTTATCCTCAGTACATATATTAATTTCAGTGGACTACCAGCAATTAACTGACTATTCTTACAAAACATATTTGTCTATCAAAAATATAACGAATGGCCCAAGGTATTCTTCAACCAAAAAAAACCTAACCTCTGATTAGAACCTCTAAATGTCACTAGTCCTCTTAATTTGAAAGGCACCACATCTGAATACACACATCATAATTCGCTCTAGCTGGATCTATGGATTTATTGTATTGTGAGCTCTTCCTACTAAAACTTTTCAGATAGCCAAATCATCCACTAAGACACTAGAAAAAGTTTATACATATTAACAAAAAAAATTGCTGCCAGATAATCTTTATTTTCCTTAACAAAATACACACAAGAACACAAAATTCACTTATATATCATCATTATTTTACAAGTATAAATAATGCTCAGAATTCAAGTACAGTCAAGTGCAGGAGTATTTCCTATATGTTAATATGTAAACATAAACTAATTATATACATCATGTGCCTTTGGCCCAGCTGCAAAATAAAAGACACCAAAAAGAAACACTGCACTTGACTGTTCAATTGCATTCCTATTGAGAATTCGTACCAATGCCTATATAGTTACAGTTACAACTTTCATATCCCTTAATGTAAACAACTAAATAGACATTTCCCCCCTACTGGCAATATCTCAAGAGTTAAAATTCTATCCATTTTTAACAACATATTCCAAATTTTAAGTGTGTTTCATTTCCTTAAAAAACACTATTAGAGAACTTATTCCTAACCAAAGTTCTTCCTATGTCAAAATGAATATTATTTATGTTACATATATAGAAAACAAGAATACTATCATGTTTGCTTACTTTTAGAATGGACAAAAAAAATTTAAAAGCTGTCTAGTGTGAGTCTTTGTACATTCAAAACAATCTCCCTTTACTGATATCACGTGCTTTTAATTAATACCTAGCAGATACAATGTTGATATATTGAAATAGCTAGGCAATCTGAATTTGAATTACATCAAGCATATACTCAGAGGGGCAAAAAAAGATTAAAGTACCATCTAAAAACCAGTAACTGACATCAACAAGACTATGCATATCCAGTTGAAGGCACGCAGAAGCATTTACTACTTTGTCATAAAAGATTCTCCACTCAATTCAGGATTAGGTATAGAATCTGCTCTGGCAACTGTTGATTTGGATTCATTCATTGTTTCCTCATTTTCGGTCTCTTCTTGTTTCTCCTCTGGTTCCTCTGAGCCAGATGCTTTTTCAATCACTTCGTTTATCTGCTCTGTAGTTAATATTTCTTCGTCTGCTTGCTCTGTACTAGTATCAAGAACATCTTGTTCTTCTAAAGATTCTGGAAAGATAAAAAGTTAAGACTTTAAGAATATCCAAATGTTAAAATTAATGAATAAGGTGAATACACACACACACACACAGTCTAACGTTACCCTTAAAAATCCTTTAAAATAAGTACTTAATTTCCTAGAGCATACCATTTATGAGTTATTACTGAAGAAAAACTCTAGAAGAAATAAGCCCATAAACCTTCTTTTAACTTAATACTCCGTATTTTCATTCCAAATGAATTCTGAAAGATGCATTTTATGTTAAATGTCCAAAAATCAGAGTCCCATCAGAACTGGTATTACAACAGTTCAGCAGAACAAGCAAAATTATTACTTCCAGATTGTTTGCTGAAGAAACTGTTTCCCTTGTGCCTGGGCAACCCCGTGAGCAACAATTGTAAATACATGTGTATGTGTGCAGGTAGGTAGGTAGTGCTTTCCTACACTGGTATATATCTCCATTTTTCAAGAACTGGGGAAATCGGGATCCACCTTTTCCAAAGGTGTGACAAATCTCCCCTCACCCACCTACAAAATGAGTCCTCGGTCAGAATATGATAAGTATCTAGTATGCTAGGGAGAGAAAGTCAAAAGTCATTTCCCCTCATCTCCATAGTAGAAGTTAGGTAAGGGTCTTAGTCCCTACCTGAAAATTTACTTTAATTCTCTGAGTTTTATTAAATTTAAATACCTTAATAATTTTATAATTTTATTAAATAAGCTGCTTTTAATCCTTTAAAATTTAAAGGACAAGACAGAGGATGGAATGACAGGAACAGGGAAGCTTTGGACTACTCAATTTCTGAGTAAAGAATAAAAATCTAGCTCTGAAGCATTTATTTGTTTTTTAATAAATAGCTATTAATGTTCTTGCTAGGAGGAGTATGGTTAACTCAAAGCAGTTAGCAGAGCCCAAGGTCTTGCTAAATGAATATAATTAGTAGTTTTCCAAAGAAATTACATGTTACATGCATACATGTTAACCTAAGTCTCCTTAACTAGATGTCCTGGACTCTGGTTTAAAGAATTAATTACAACTACCTTCCTCCTTATAAAAGGATTCATATAGAATTAAAGTCCCAAATCCCACAGTTAGGGACATCCAAGTTAATGAAATCTTACTATAAGAAATATTTACATGATAACGTTGATAAATCACGTTTGTGTCAAATATCATTAACAACTCTAATTACATTTTAATATGGAACTTAAAATTGCATTGCTTCACCATTCAGAATCTTATAAAATTCCATGTAGAAATGCAGTAAGTCATTTGAATTTTGCAATTTGAAAGTCCCCTTGCAGAAAAGAAAAGCAGAAGTGGTGAGTGAAACTCTATGGACATTTATAGACCATTTCTGCTACAAGGGCAAGCCAGTACTTCCAAGGAACACTTCAGGAGTCACCAGTCATTTGTAATCTACCCTCACAATTTACCCAGGGTTAAATTTTTTAAGTTACAGTTTTGTACAACTCTCTAAACATAGAACAATACTTTGCTGCCAAGAATTTTACAATTTGTTATATTTAGTTTAGTATACCTTCTTAAACAAACCAAAAAAGTCCACAAAATTAAAAATCAAGAAGCTCAGAATTCAGGATTCAATTTACCATTATACATGTTTAAGTGAACATAACCCCACATAGTTTGTCATGGCCCACATAATTCTGTCTGACAGATTATCTCAATACTGTACTGAAACAGGAAAGGTATCAATGTTCAAGGTTTATCACATGAAAGTTTGTGAGGTTACTATTTTCAGGAAGAAACACTACAATGAAATTTAAAAATTCTACAGTGACAAAGTTTTCCACTCAATATTATATTTCAGAGAATGTATGAAAGACAAAAAAAGTTGGTGAAATGATGGTATAGATTGAAAAGAGAGGGTAGAGGGAAAGAGAGGGAGAAGAAGAGAAGTATGGTTATCTTCCTAGAATTCCATCTATGAAATACATGAAATCAGTTCTCTTTCTATTAATAATTTTTTTAAAAAAAGAAAACAATCGAAGAGCTTATTCATGACTACTTTTTTTCCCCTGCACTGATTTACAGAAAAACAATTTTAATAGCAGTTGTACTACAAAAAGTTGCAAATATTGCAAATATCAGTTAGTCTGTCTAAATGAGATAGGTATTTGATGTTTGGGTGTCAATGTCATTTTGTAAGAAGCCATTCAAACAAAATGTGAAGGAACTAAGTATAAAAGGTTAAAAGAGAATTACACATTCATTTAATAACTACAAGACTTCATAATCAGATTATAAAAGTACTTATTGTACTTCTATGGGGAGAGTATTATTTGCCTATTCAAATTAAAAAAATTTTAAATTTTTTCTGTCCATCTATAAAGTAGCTTGGTAGATGGGGCCGCAGCCTGCAGTGCCAACATTCCATATGGGCGCCAGTTCAAGACCCAGCTGCTCCATTTCCAATCCAGTTCTCTGCTATGGCCTGGGAAAGCAATACAAGATGGCCCAGGTCCTTGGGCCCCTGGCTTCGGACCGGCCCAGCTCCGGCCGTTGTGGCCAACTGGGGAATAAACCAGCAGATGAAAGATCTCTCTCTCTCTCTCTCTGCCTCTGTTTCTCTGTAACTCTGCCTTTTAAATAAATAAAATAAAATTTAAAAATAAAATAAAATAGCTTGGTGGTATAAAAGACATTCTAGAAGATGTTAACCTTTGAACATAAAAAACTAAAAGAGAAATCAGCCTTTATGAGTCACAATAATTAAACTACTACTCTTCCCTGTAGGGCCCAGTTTAAGAATAAGATATGACCTAATAAGAATGACCTAATTCCACCTGTAAGAAAAATTTTAAATTGACTTTGCAGCCACAGTGCCAAGAAAACATATTTCAGTGTGATAAAACACAAATAATTGATGGAATTTCTTTCTTTTCTCTTATCCTATATCAACATTCTTGAGAGAAAAACTTTTTCTATCAAACAGTAACAAATGGATTCCAGTTGTTTTGGCAAATCCTCAACTTAGCTAGATAACTCAAACTCATAAAACTGGGTATAACTGTATAATGAATACCACTGCTTCACCTATAAAGCACACACATGCAAAAAAAAGGGCAAGAACTTCATCTTACCTTTAGATTTTTAACATAGATCTTGAAAGAATAACTTGGAAGCAAATTAAAGAATAGTCTGGCAAAATAATTTCATTTATTTTTGCTTTACTAATATATTAAATTATGCCCTGCTAACACATCAGTGCTCACTATATGCAAACTATAAACTGACCCAAAGGAACTTTGTTAAATTAAAATCAACAGTTTGTCTTTGAACTTGCACGTTTTAAACAAGGCAGCTTTTACAAGATTTTCATGCCTTAGGGAAAATCCAACTTATTAGGAGCAAAGGCACAGACTTCATCCCAACTCAACCTTATGACTCAACAAATAAAATTCAATTAAAGAGTAACCTACCTATGAGAAAGTAGCTAGTATTCAATATACAGAATATCATTTGCCATTGCTGAACAAAGCAATTAACCAAGTTAAGAGTTTCATTATTAAGCAATGACCTAAAACTAAGCCACTACGTTGAAGGTGTTTTAGTAAAGGGAGTAAGAAAGCCGAAAGATTTCTGTCTAAAATAAGAATGAACAACATACTACAGACAAGCTCACATCCTGAGTAAGCAGCACATAATTAAATTTACACAAAGGGATAAGCTTTTTGGATCTGATAAATGCAAAGAATTCAACAAAATTTACATGATTAAATAGTTCAATTTCTTAGAGCATCATAATAAAAATACTAAAAATATGACTTCCCCTCTTCAATGCAAGCTAATGGTAACAGTATTTTGCTTAAGACAAAAGGAGAGGACAGAAATCAGATTACCAAGATACATTTCACAGTATATAAAGTTAACTTGTTATTTTTGTTAATATTGACTAGACTCCATGAGTTTTATTATAAATGAGTTATATTCAGTCTAATAGAAGCTACTTTCTACTAAAATAATTATATAAGCCCCAAATAAACACAATTGACCCATGAAAACACAATAAATATTAACATTTTTTTAAACAGCTAGTCAAAAACTCATCATACTGGTATACTAACAATGTAGAAACCTAGTATTTAATGATTATCACATCTAGCAAAAAGAACATATATACCCAGTATTTTACAAAGCATATTTTTTAAAGCCAAAGCTGATAAAACACTTCAATGTGACTTTACAGAGATTTAAGTATTACTGCACTACTCATGGAATCATAAAAGAAATCTAAGAACAGTTCCTTTGTTAGCATATAATATCTAGTCTTCACAGAAAAAATTAATTTGGGAAATTTCTTGTGTTTATCTATTACTATAGCATCTGTATACACAGTTCCAAGAAAAAAAAATCTACAAATACAAATGAGTAATTAATGAGAGATATTTCTTCCAAGTCTCTTTGATGAAAACATCCCAAGATTTCATATAGTGTTCTAAAAAGTGATCCAGAATTTTAAAAGCATCATAAGTACAGAATCTTCCAGTATCAGAATCCAGACAAAATTTAATTTCGAAGTCTCACATAAAATTGGGGAAAAAAATGTTTCTTCAATTAATTCTAGGTTATTTACTCATTTAAGCAGTCACTGATATTTGTTGAAAAGAAAAGTTCAGATGGAACAAAGCTCCCTTTGATTCCATTTGTAAATTCAATAACCTACAGTTCTTGCTGCTGAGGAACTGTTTTAATACTTTTTAAAAATACTAAAAAAATAAAGTATTCTTTTCAGCTCTCAAAACTCTACATCATTGAAGAACTTAGAAACCAGAAGTTGAAGTCCCTGGGTACATTGACTATTAGCACAGAGTAGATGAGTCAGATGACATGGTCTTACTAAATACTTCCTTTTAATTGGGGTACACCACTGGTATTCAAAACAAATGCAGCTTCATCTGTTCATCATAAATATTTCCAGTCGTTTGCTAGAGAAATCCAGTTTGGAAGTGATAACTGTGTACCACAGTACTGAGAAAGAAGTCTTGGAGAAAAGTTTCAGTCTTCTGCAAAGCCCAAGAAGAAAACGTTCATGGCCACTTTGATGAATCCGAAGAGGTATGAAGAAGTTACTACTATAGAAACTATCCTAACCAAGTGGAATTGTTGCTTCAGGTCTTTCAGCACTACAGAGTGTTCAGACCCTGCCTCAAATTTTGCCTTCACCTTTTAACATTACCTTATTAGGGTTGAGTTTGAGCCAGTTAGACTTCATTCCGGAGATTTCAGACAGAAAATGAGACATCTGGGATATTGCTCCTCCTAAATTAGATGAGAAGGAAAGGTATAGCTGGGTGTTGCTAACTATCCATCTTGACCTTAGCAGAAGACATAAGCATGGGACTTATTATCACGATTTTTATTTTGCTGGGTTTTTTTCCTTTCTTTTTTTTCCTCTTTATTTTTGGTCCCAACTATTGACTTTCAAATATTCATTTAGTTTTCATAAGCAAGTTACTCATGGAAAGGACTTCAATTTTTCCTCTAGGCATCTTCAGTATGAAATTCTTTAATTTTTCAGTTCCAAGAGGTTGCAATGGCAAGGCAGATGGTTTGTACGTGACAGCATGCAGCTCAGAGCATGATTTAAGCAAAAACATTTGACATCGTGTTTAGAGTTGATGTTGCCGACTTGGAGAAGATGAATGCATTGATTCAGTGTTGGAAGTATAAAGGCCTCTGTCAGCTATCTGTATTCAAATTCATTTTGATATGTTAGTAAGCCAAAAGCCAAGCCCAATTCAACATACATATTTAGGTTCAGTCTTCAGTTTAAAATAAACTAAAAAGATATTCAAATCTCACTAAATTTCTGACATCTAAAAATTTACTGCCTCATAATATTCCCAGTTACAGCAATTTTTGTAATGTTCAATGAAAAATAAACCAAATACATGTAAATGATAATTCCTAAAATTAAAAGGATAAATACTGACAATTATGTGAACTAAATTTCTAGTATACATACCAGACATAGCACCAGAATATTATGGTCTATGTCAAAATTTTTGCAATCTTTATAACTCAGAGCTAATTAACAAATATTAATAGCAAAAATTAGTTGACAATAGATCTTCCATATCACCTTTTGATTTTTTAAGTTAAATTTCCTCGAAAATTCCTAAAACATAATTGCATGATAAATTCTAAAACTCAACAAATTCCAATAAATTCTGTTTCTCTAAAATATGGTAAATTTTACATCAAAGAAATTTTTGTTTCAATGGAACACCATTCCTATTGAAATAGTCATCCAAAAAAGGCAAGGATGACTTTCCAATTTCAAAGTTTCCTGTTTTCTGGTAATTTTTTCTGATTCAAGTAGTAGACACTAATCTATTTTATCCATGAATCTTACGTCTTTTATCAGTTATTTTCTCAGTTCTAGTAATTTTCTTCACTCAGATAACTGAAAAAAAAATGAGCCCATGATGAGAACTAGTCAAATCTCCAACAGTTGTTAGAAGAGCTCACTTTTGGCTGGCGCCATAGCTCAATAGGCTAATCCTCCACCTAGCGGCGCCAGCACACAGGGTTCTAGTCCCGGTCGGGGTGCCAGATTCTGTCCTGGTTGCCCCTCTTCCAGGCCAGCTCTCTGCTGTGGCCTGGGAGTGCAGTGGAGGATGGCCCAAGTCCTTGGGCCCTGCACCCCATGGGAGACCAGGATAAGCACCTGGCTCCTGGCTTCGGATCAGCGTGGTGCGCTGGCCGCAGTGCGCTGGCCGCAGCGTGCCAGCCGTGGTGGCCATTGGAGGGTGAACCAACGGCAAAAGGAAGACCTTTCTCTCTGTCTCTCTCACTGTCCACTCTGCCTGTCAAAAAAAAGTAAATAAATAAAAAAATTTAAAAAATGAAGAGCTCACTTTCATAAATGTTTATTTAGCTAATGCTACATACTGCCTATCACAATAAAACCTGCATTTTAAAACTGAAACGCATCACATGAATCACATAGAAGGCCATATCAGAGCAATCAATGATCCATGCATTCCGCAAAATAATAAATTCAATTTTCCCAAAAAGCATTATGCTTCTATTATTGTTAAAGAGCGCATTTTTAACAGATAAAACTGTTACGATATATTCTTACCTTCACTGAATTGGTTCTCTGATGGAAGCGTACTTCCTGATGGCAAGGGACCAACCGAACTTGACTCTTCCACTACCTGCCTCTTCTCAAAACTAAACTCTGGAAGTCTTGGAGCCTGGGGTCTGGTTTTTCTTGCAGGGTTCAAGAAAAAACAGTAGGCACACCGAAAAGCTGCAGAGAAATTTTTAAGAAATAAACAAAACCACAAACCAAAAAAAGTTCAAGAACCAATTAGGTAACTTACAAAATTACTTTTGCAAAGAAAGAACACTTCAAAATTTACTTACCCCTTATGAAATTCACATTCTTTTAACAATATTACAGTAGGTGTTCGAAACAAAGATAATCTAAAGCATACTTATTAATTATTACTAGAAAAAGCATAACAAGCTACACAGCAGGTTAACTAACAGCAAAACAGTAACAATGACTTAAATGCTTCACTAGCCACCAGAATCATTAGGTAATTTAAAATCTAGAACTTGGCTCATTTGCCCAAGAAAATGCAGTAGTCTCTTTTCAGAAGCATTAATTAATTTACCACAGAAGTTTTTAATAGCAGTGTATAGGAGAATCATCTGCAGAGATTTTTAAAAGTGCTGATACATATGCCCTACGCAAGATCAATTGAATCAGACTCTGTAGGTGAGCGGTTCTGGGTAGCTTTATTTTTTAGTCTGTTAGGTGATTATGCTGTGCAGTGAGGTTTAAAAAAAACTAGCTGTGCATTATATGAGGGAGAAATCTGAGTTGTCCTCTCTGCCCTATTCAGAGTACCTGGCCAATGTATACAGATACAACACCTAAAATAAAATGGTATTACAAGGGAAGTGGCATAAAATTAAATATTCAAGAATATTAAATCTAACTGTCCAATAATTCTTACCAATGTATTCAAATTCTTCCTTCAAAGCCATGCCATTATGAGAAAAACACTGCTGACATATAAGGGCATACCTACACCAAAAAGAAAATTCAACAGATAAGTACAAATGCAGACAAATATCACGGGAGAAGCTAAATAGTTTAGCTCTTGTGGCTAAATATTTTAACATAGCTAAATATGCCATAACATATTAGATAATACTTAGTAAACCATAAATAATACTCTAAACAAAAGCCAAGATTAACCAAAGCCATTTCAAACATTTAAAAATGTAATTCATAAATCAAATTAAAAATACACTAAGCCAACAGTAAAATGAGTGTATCCTTAGCAAGTTAGCAGAAATATATTTGACAACTGAAAACTTTAAATTTTGATGTTTCCAAACATGCATTACTAGGGATAACAGCTCCCAAATCTGTGATAAGGCTAGAAAGAATAGTGGCAGGCATTTGGCCTATGGCTTAAGACACTAGTTGGGAACATCTGTATTGGAGTACATGGGTTCAAGTCCCAGATCCACTCCCAATTCCAGCTGCCTACTAATGTACATCCTGGAGGCAGCTGGCAATGGCTCAAGTGGTTAGGTTTCTGCAACCAACTGTTAGACCTGGCCTGGGATCTCAGCTTCCAGCTTCTGCCTAGTTTCTGGGAAGTGAACCAGTAGATGGCAGAGCTCTCTGTCTACATATCTGTTTATCTGTCTCTCTGCACCTCAAAAAAAATTTGCTTTACGTTGGGAAAGATGGAGCCATAATAGACTCACAATGAATATTAAGACCTCTGAGAAGTACTGCGCTAAAGAAATAAATTTCTATGTGCTTAGTCTGGTCCAAAGGTTACTTTTTTTTTTTTTTTTTTGACAGGCAGAGTGGACAGTGAGAGAGAGAGACAGAGAGAAAGGTCTTCCTTTGCCGTTGGTTCACCCTCCAATGGCCGCCGCGGCCGGCGCACTGCAGCCAGTGCACCGCGCTGATCCGATGGCAGGAGCCAGGAGCCAGGTGCTTATCCTGGTCTCCCATGGGGTGCAGGGCCCAAGCACTTGGGCCATCCTCCACTGCACTCCCTGGCCACAGCAGAGGGCTGGCCTGGAAGAGGGGCAACCGGGACAGAATCCGGCGCCCCGACCGGGACTAGAACCCGGTGTGCCGGCGCCGCTAGGCGGAGGATTAGCCTAGTGAGCCGCGGCGCCGGCTCAAAGGTTACTTTTGATATATCATGATTCCTATACCTTTCTCAGCTGCACTTAAACATTTTCTTCATTTTCTTCTTATATACTTCCTCTCTTCTCTGTGTATGTAACTTAACAAATACATGGCTCTAACAAACATGATTTTATCTGTTTTGAGTAAAATACAATTTATTATGTTAACATAGAAATCTGGTCCCAGGCCAGTGCCATGGCTCACTTGGTTAATCCTCCACCTGTGGTGCCAGCATCCCATATGGGCACTGGGTTCTAGTCCCAGTCGCTCCTCTTCCAGTCCAGCTCTCTCTTGTGGCCCCAGAAGGCAGTGGAGGATGGCCCAAGCACTTGGGCCCTGCACCTGCATGGGAGACCAGGAAGAAGCACCTGGCTCCTTGCTTCAGATCAGCGCAACGCTGGCCGTAGCGGCCATTTGGGGAGTGAACCAACAGAAGGAAGACCTTTCTCTCTGTCTCTCCCTGTCTATATCTCTACCTGTCAATAATAGCGAAAAAGAACTCAAGAAAAAAAAAAAAAGGAAGGAAGGAAGAGAGGGAGGGAGGGAGGAGGGAAGAAATCTGGTATCTGGTCCCTTAATGAAAAGGATCATATTAACTAGTAAAAGTTGTCAAATACCTACTTTAGTATCTTATTAATCTCTTTAAAATTCTATACTGTGTGGGGCTGGCGCTGTGACGTGGTGGGTAAAGCCATTGCCTGCAGTGCTGGCATCCCATATGGGTGCCAGTTCAAGTCCCGGCTGCTCCACTTCTGATCCAGCTCTCTGCTATGACGTGGGAAAACAGTAGAAGATGGCCCAGGTCCTTGGGCCACTGCACACACGTGGGAAACGTGGAAGAAACTCCTGGCTCCTGGCTTTGGAATGGCACAGCTCTGGCCACTGCAGCCAACTGGGGAGTGAAGCAGCGGATGGAAGACCAATCTCTCTCTATCCCTCTTTCTCTCTCTCTGCCTTTCCTTCTCTCTGTGTGTAACTCTAACTTTCAAATACATAAATAAATCTTTAAAAAAAAATTCTACACTATGACAATTTCTCTACTCACTTATCTTCCTGGAGCTACTGAAAGGATCAAATAAAATTGGGAAGGCAGTTCAAGAACCCTGAGTGCTAAACAATGAGTACATTGTTCTCATCACTATCATGGGATTATAACCACCACTGAATCACCTATAAAACCCCATTTCAAGGGGCTGGCAATGTGGCACAGCAGGTTAAGCTGCTTCCTGTGATGATGCCACCCCATATCAGAGCTCTGGTACGAATTCTGGCTGTCCCACTTCCAATCCAGCTACTTATTAATGTACATGGGAAAGCAAAGGAAGAGGGTCTACATGCTTGGGTCCTGCCACCCATATGGGGAAACCAAAAAGAGTCCTGGTTTAGAACTGGCCTGGCCTAGCCCTGGCCATTGAAGCCACTTAGGGAATGAACTAGCAGATGGAAGATCTCTTTCTCTTTCTCTCCCTCTTTCTGTGTCATTCTGTCTACCAAATAAATAAATCTTTAAAAAAAATTAATAAATAAAACCCCATTTCTTAGAATTTATCGGGTTTTCACTGTTTTTGTGCTTTTTCAATTTAAGAGGTTAAATTTTTCTAAAAATAATCATAAAGCAGAGCTAAACTTATTTTTTCCAAATGGCTTTTATCTAGGCTACTTTGTCCAAACTCCTCCTAAAAACCAATTAAAGGGACTGGAACTGTGGTGCAGCAGGTAAAAAAAGCCACTGCCTGCAGTGCCGGCATCCCATATGGGCACTGGTTTGAGTCCTGGTTGCTCTACTTCTAATCCAACTCTCTACTGATGGCCTGGAAAAACGGTAGAAGACAGCCTAAGTCCCTGGGCCCCTGCACCCATGTGGGAGATCTGGAAGAAGCTCCTGGCTCCTGGCTTCAGATCAGCCCAGCTCAGGCCGTTGTGGCCATTTGGGGATTGAACCAGAGGATGGAACACCTCTCCTCCCACTCCCCCACCTCTGCTTCTCTGTAAATTTACCTTTCAAGTAAACAAATCTTTTAAAAAATTAAAATAAAAAAAATGGAATAAATTGTCTTTTACAGGGCTATAAAATACTCTATTATGTTCTAAAAATTGGGAAATAGAAGCCAAAGACATCCAGTATATGCATACATACATTCTGACAAAAACCTTTTTTCATTTCCATTTATCTATCACTCTGGCAAACATTACCTGTTCTGTGGACCATCACCAACTAAATATTCAACAATTCTATCCAGAGCACCTCGTTCTCGGGGGAGAATGGGTCTTGCTAAAGGTGGACCTGGAGGATGAAGACCTATTAAAGAAATAAATACATAGAAAATGTAACTCAATTACAAAGATCAATGTTTGTCAGAACTTTTAAAAGATTTTTAACTGGCAAAATATTCATTCTTTGGGACCGGCGCTGTGGTATAACGGGTTAAAGCCCCAGTCTGCAGTGCCGGCATCCCATATGGGCACCAGTTTGAGTCCTGGCTGCTCTTCTTCCAATCCAGCTCTCTGCTATGTCCTGAGAAAGCAGTAGAAGATGGCCCCAAGTCCTTGGGCCCTTGCACCTCTGAGTGGGAAACCTGGAAGAAGCCTGGCTCCTGGCCGTTGTGGTCATCTGGGGAGTGAACCAGCAGAATGGAAGACCTCTCTCTCTGGCTCTACCTCTCTCTGTAACTCTCTTTCAAATAAATAAAAATAATTCTTAAAAAAATAATATTCATTCTATAAATCTCTGTAGAACATTCAAATTTTCATTAAAACTATTGAACTACAAATAATGTATAATGTTTATAAATAATCCGTTAGGATATGAAGTCATGTTAGGTTCCATGTAAGTTAATCTGAAAAATACCCCAACTCTTAAAGGTATTTATAATAATAAATTAAGGGATTTCTACTTTGGAAGATAACACAGTAATGGGTTGGATTTGCTTTCCTATCTAAAATAACCAAAAAAATTGTTCAAAATATATGAATTAACAGTTTTAAAGACTGAATTTCAGGCAATGTAAGTTTATGTTCCCTTAGAGACTAGAAACAAGAAACATATTACAATTACCCAAGCTTATTACCTGCAGTTTGCAGACATCAACACAAGATAGGTGAATGCAGGTGAAGTACAGCTGTCTTTCAGAGTTGAAGAGACAGCTGGAACTCTGGGAAGGTCAAAGTGGCCCAATTCATAGAAAAGAATATCAAAGAGGACAGAAGACATAGAGAAGGAACACCCAAGATCTGCACAGGTCTCCCAGAGCATCCAGAGTACTGACAAGTACCTTATGTGACAAAACTACCTGAGAATAAAGAACCATCCAAAAGGATGAAAGGAAACAATGCTCACACAAGGCCAGTAACACTGCCTGTATCCACCAGCAAGAAAGGAAAACCTGACACATGGGTCATTATATAAAGTATTCAGAAAAGTTTTGCATAGAGATGTAAAAATATTTAGCAACCAGCAAGGTAAAATAAATAACACCTAGCACCAGATCAAAAATTAGTAAACATGTGAACAAGCAGGAAAATATCACCTAAAGTGAAGAATGGTCAATCAACATTATATCAGAAATGACAAAGATGACTGAATTAGTAGACATAAATATAAGAGCTTTTACTATATAATTGATAGATGCAAAGGAGTCTGTAGGTTAAGTGTGGACATGAAAAAAATTCAAAACATTCAACCTGAACTTGTATAGATGAAAACTATAATGAAAACTTGTATAGATGAAAACTAGTAAACAGCACTTTAGAAACTGAAAAAAAAATTCGGTGAATTTGAAGACATAGCAAAAGAAACTAAACACAGTGAACCAGAGAAAAAAGATTAAAAACTTTTTAAGTGAACAAGGCCTCAGCAAGCTCTAGAACAACCTTAAGTAGCCTAATAAATGTGTAATTAGAGTCCATGAAGAGAGATAAGAAAAGGAAATACACATTTGAAGAAAAAATGCCAAGGCAGGCATTTGGCATAGCAGTAAAGTCACCACTTCAGATGCCCAAATTCCAAATAGAAGTGCACAGGTTCAAGTTCTAACTGGTCTCAGTTCCAGGTTCCTGCTAATGAATACCCTGGGAGGCAACAGATGATGGCTCAAAGCAGTTGGGACTCTGTCATCAACATGGGAGACCTGGATTGGATTCTCACCTCCCAGCTGTTGTGAGCATTTGGAGAATGAACACGTAGATGGAGATTTTCTCGCTCTCCCTCTTTTTCTCACCTTCTCCCTCTGTTTTTCAAATGAAAAAAGGTTTTTAAAACAGGGTTGGTGCTGTGGCACAGCAGGTTTAAAGCCCCAGCCTGCAGCACTGGCATCCCATATCTGTGCTAGTTGGAGTCCCGGCTGCCCCACTTCCGATCTAGCTCCCTGAAGTGTCGGGGAAAGCAGCAGAGGATGGTCCAAGTCCTTGGGCCCTTGCGCTAACCAAGGGAGAACTGGAAGAAGCTTCTGGCTCCTGGCTTCTGCTTGGCTCAGCTCCGGCCAATGCAGCCATTTGGAGAGTGAGCCATCAGATGGAAGACCTCTCTCTCTGTGTCTCTACCTCTCTTTCAAATAAATATTTTAAAAAATAAAATAAACACACAAAACTTTTCCAAATTTGATGAAAGCTATAAACCCACAGACACAATGGAAAGATACATTTTCAGTTCTGAAAGAGAATAAATGCCAACCCAGAATACTTTACCCAGCAGTGCTATCTTTTATAAATTAAGGGGAAACAAAGACATTTCAAGACAATCTGAAATTGAAGGACTTCATCACCACCAGACTAGCTTTACAAAAGATGCTTAGGGAGTCCTATAGATGAAAACAAAGAAAGATAATTACCATCCTGAAAAGACCTTGAAAGTATAAAACTTACTAAAGAAAGGATATGAATATTAAAAATAAAAAGAATTATTTTTAAATTACAGGTCTAAGTCATTACTTATCAATAACAACGCTGAATATATGAACTAAATTCCCAAATTAAGAGATACAGACTGAATGGATTTAAAAAACAAGACCCCAACACTATACTATCTATAAGTAACTCACTTCACCAAAAAAGACACAGACTGAAAAGATGAAAAAAGATATTCCACAGTAATGGAAGCCAAAGTCAAGCAAGAATAGCCATTCCTTATACTACACAAAACAGACTATAAGATAAAGCCTGTTAAGAGACAAAGACTATCAATATATAATGATCAAGGGATCAATTATTCAACAATATGGAAGTAGTAAATGTACATGTACTCAATATTCAGAACCCAATTTTGTAAAACAAACTTACTAGATCTCAGGAGCAATCAAGATCAAATCATTTAGATAAAAAAATCAACAAAGAAACATCAGAATTAAACTATACTATAGATCAAATGGATCTACAGACATTTTTAGAACATTCTGTTCAACAGCTGAGGAATGTACATTCTTTTCATTTGCACATGGAACATTCTCTGAGACAGATCACAAAGTCTTAATTTTTTTAATCAAAATCATTAAGTATCTTTTCTGATAACAATGGAATAAAAATAGAAACCAACAACAAGGCTGGTGTTTCAGGGCACAGGGTTAAGCCACCCTGCAGGATGCTGGGCATCCTATTTAAGTGCCAGTTCCAGTCTTGGCTGCTTGCTAATGTACCTGGGAAAGTAGTAGATGTTGCTCCACCATACTTGGGCTCCTGCTATCCCTATGCAAAACATGACAGAGTTACTGGATCCTGGCTCTGGCCTGACGCAGACCCAGCTGTGGCAGTCATTATGGAGAGTGAACCTGAGGATGGAAGATCTCTTTTCTGTCTCTCACTCTCTCTATAACTCTGCCTTCCAAATAAATTAAATATAAAAAATTCTTTCCATTTCTGCTTGTTATGAAAGTTCTTTATTTCACTTTCATTCAAATAGAGCTTTGCTAATTACAATTCTTTTCAAACTATTCAAAACAATTAAAAGGGAGGAAATCCTGCCAAACTCCTTCTATGAAGCCAGCATCACCTTAATTTAAAAACCAGAAAAGGATACAAGAAAGAAAGAAAGAACCATAGACCAATATCCTTGATGAACATAGATTCAAAAATCCTCAAAAAAAAAATTAGCTAATTGAATCCAACAACACATCAGAAAGATCATTCAGCCAGAACAAAAGATTTATCCCTGGTATGCAGGGATGATTCAATACACGCAAATCAATAAATGTGATATCATATTAACAAACTGAACAATAAAAGCCATATGATTATTTTAATAGATGAAGAAAAAGCACTTGATAAAATACAACATCCTTTTATGATAAAAACCTTAAACTGCATATAGAAGGAGCATTCCTCAACACAATCAAGGCAATATATGACAAACGCACAGCCAGCATCATAGTGAATGGGGGAAAGCCTGAAGCATTTCCACTAAGATCCGGAATCATACAAGGATGCACACTTTTGCTGTTGCTATTTAATATAGCTCTAGAAGTTTTGGCCAGAGCCATAGGCAAGAAAAAGAAATCAGAAGGATATAAATGAGAAAGGAGGAAGTCAAATTATCCCTGTTTGCCGATGACATGAAACTATATATCAGGGGAACCAAAAGACACCACACTATGAGACTGTTGGAACTCACATGACAGTTTGGTAAAGCTTGCAGTAAATAAAATTAGCATACAAAAATCAATAGCTTTTGTATACACAGACAATGCCATGGCAGAGACAGAACTTGCAAGATCAGTCCCATTCACAATAGCTACAAAAAAATTTAAATACCTTGGAATAAATTTAACTGAGGAGGTGAAAGAGCTCTACAAAGAAAATTACAAAACATTAAAGAAACAGAAGAAGACACACACAAAATATGGAAAAATCTTCAATGTTTATGGATTGGAAGAATTAATATCGTCAAAATGTCCATACTACCAAAAGCAATTTACAGATTCAATGTGCTCCCAATCAAAACACCAACGACAAATTCAAATGGAAACACAAAAGAGCCCAAATAGCTAAAATAATCTTAAACAAAACAAAGCTAGAGGCATTACAATGCCAGATTTCAAGGCATACTACAAGGCAGTTATAATCAAACAGCCTAGTACTGGCACAGATATAGACATGTAGACCAATGGGACAGAATAGAATCCCCAGAAATTAATTCATGCATCTACAACCAACTAATATTTGACAAATGAGGTAAAATCATTCCTGGAGAAAGGACAGTCTCTTTAACAAATGGTGCTCATTGGGGCCAGCACTGTGGCATAGTGGGTAAACCGCCACCTGCAGTGCCAGCATCCCATATGGGCACCAGTTTGAGTCCCAGCTGCTCCACTT